AATAATAAAGGCTTTAATCAAGGCTATTTCTTTAAAATAACTGCACTGGCATGTACCCAGAGGGGATACCTGCACAGCACCCAGGTGGTCAGAGGGACTTTGATCTGAAGTGTAACATTTTAAAGAGCCTAACACGTGCTTTTCAGATACTTTTAACTCTGTTGCATTTTAACTTAAATAGAAATACCTCCACTTTGAGCAGTCCCACCCACCGTCCAACCCCGTTTAGAAAAAACAAGGGTCTTTGAATCGCCTGCGTGACGTCACGCATACGCGCATACTTACGGGCTGGTGGACAGGCGGTCGCCGGGAGGCTGGAAAATCTTATGGAAAACCAAACCAACATTGGAGTATTAATAGCAGCCGTGTCTTACACTTGTATCACAGCGTTTAAGAGGCAGGTCGGCTCTTCTGACTGCGTACTTGAAGTATAAAAGCCGGTCATTATGGAGCATTGCTGGAGATTCACGGAGGGTACCTCCCAACAAGAGCTGCTTTACAGCTCCCGTAGCTAACCCATGTGAGCCTCTATTTTAGCAGGCACACAGGTCTTTTTTATTTTGCGGTACTGCATAAGTTAGCCTCTGTTTTCATGCAGGGTTAGTCAGCTCTCTGCGTTTATTCATCTGTACCTGCTCAACATCCGTCTGCTTCCAAGAAGACATGTCCGGGACCCCCTGCTGAGAGTCTGTTTTCTCACAATATTTAAAATAATTCAATGAAAATGAAGTCGTCTCTGGCTCCTGGGATAAGACTTATCACCAACTTTTCTCGGGATAGTTGGTAAGTTTTCATTCTTATTGTCCTCTTGGCGCACACGCAGCCCTGTAATGGAGATTGCTGCTTCTTATCTCTGTTAAATGATTGACTCAAACTAGTCGATAAACCGTCAGAATGTGAACTGTTCTGTGACCAGTAAATCCAGAGACATTATCATGTAACCAGCTATTGTTTTATATGTCTAAGTTCCTGTTATAAATGTATTACTACTTCTTGTTTTCATCGGGTTTTCTGTACCCGGCACGTCTGGTTTCCCCCGTGCGAATCTAGAATCCCACCAAACTCCATTAAAAAAAATTGACATTTTAAGAGGTGGCCGGCCACAGTTTCCAGTGTCGACCACTGGGTTATTTTGCAATAACCGAAAATTGTCGAAAGGGATTTATACCTCCAGATTTATCAGGAAATAAAGTGTCAGTAAAGTGCCATTCCATTATATTTCCTGCTTTTCTAAATCTGACTGAATATAGAAAATACACATTTTTCTTAAGACAACTCAGGCTCCTCAGGTATGTTTTGTAAATGCAGGGTGTTTTTGCTGGTTACCAAGCTGGAAAACTGCAAGCCACCAAAAAGTTACAAATTGCACAGATTTTATGGAATACAATGAAAAAAATAAAAAAGGAACTGCGGCTGCAGTAAAGACTGAAACTAACTGGATGAATCTTGAAGTGAGTTTTCATCAGTGAGTCTCATGAGGATTGTGTAGCTCAGAATGAGTCGGACCAGTCTGATAGATGGATCCCCACCAAAAGAAAAGCCAGCAACTGGGGAAAAAAAGCATCTTAAAATGTTTGAGGAAAGGAGAATACACGAGAGTAGGAAGAGTATCATGTGACTCAACTTCCGTTTCCCTTTATTTCAGTTTCATATACTTTGATAAGGTCACATTGAAATTATTAAAGCAAATGATTGAATTATTGACCCACATTGTGCCGCGCAAACAAAATGTTTGTCTCACACACAGTTTGTTATTAACAAAGGATGTGCCCTTAACTCATTCCGCCATATCTGCTTGGAACACTCTTGCAGTCCATTGTGGTTTGCCATGATAATAACGCCGGAATATAAAAAACCATTCAATGACCATATGTACAGCATAGTATAAATTTCTCCAAAAACAAAGATCAAACTAAATAATCAAATGATGATAATAAGACAAAACTGAATGTTTCATAAACAATGATGATGATAGTTAGTGTTTATGTTTGTTTACCACCTTCTGAAAGCATTTTTTATGCACAGTCTTCACCACAAAGTTTATCAATTCAGACAAATGTGCGTCTTATTTGTGTTTGTCCTGATTCCTGCTTCTTTAAACACACCTTCGTACTGTATCTCTCAAATTCCAAACAATTTAGGTGAAATCACTGGACTAAAAGAACTTTAGGTTCACATTGCCTTTGAAGAGTCACAGATAAACTTTCAAAGGTCATAAACTAATTAAAAGTATACTTTGAATTATTTAACACTCTTGCATCTCAAATTAACACCTTACACTCCAAGTATAATGTGAGCACTGAGAATACTTTTTCCACTTATTAACTTGTGTTGTTTAGCCAGCATGAAAACAGCTGATCTGTGAGTTTGTTACCCAAACAAATATTTCTACGTCAGTGGAAAGTTTCGTGTCATGTGTTTGTGCTGGAGGCATTTTAATTGATGTCACTGCATGATTAATAAGCATACCTTAGTATGCTCTTTGTAGGCTTACTTTTATTACTCTGTTTTGATATTTTGAATAATAAAGATAATTTGATTGTCATTTTTTTAATGATTTTGGTTCTAATGTGTCTGTTTCTGCAGGTATCGTGGTTTTATTCTCATCCTCACCTTCCTGTTCTACACAGCCTATCACTTGTCACGGAAACCTATCAGCATCGTTAAGGTGACTGGAACAGTTGTATTTCTTTTTATGAACACTATTAACACTGTTTTTGCAGGATCAAATGCTCTATAGAAAGACAGAACATGTCTTTCTTGTCTTGTCCTTTTTACTCTCGAAAATGGATAAAATCTTTACCATAACACTGCTCACTCAGGTCATTTGTTATCTCCTTACAGATATATTGATTAAATCTAATTTCTAACATTCGATCTTTAGCTTGTCACATGATCAGGGAGACAACAGAAGATAAGCTCTTTTAAGAAAATAACTTTATCTACATATAACTCAGACACAGCCACAATTAAAGGTATTCGTGTCTTTACAAATTCATAGAAATTAACAGCCGAAGCACAAAAGCTGCTAGAAAAGCAAACGGCTCTAAAGGACGTCTGCTGAATATGCTAAAGGGATTTTCTTAAACATCTATCATGTGATACTCAGGTGAAAGGATTACCATTGCCTGTTTTTCCTGTAAGGCCTGTTGAACTGGGACGTAAAGCTAACGGCTAATTTCCTGTACCATATATGTCTTCTTTCATGAGCTGTTGTTTCAATCAAAGATAGTCAAACAACAATTGAAAGTGTTTGCATCACACAGCAATGTTCTGCAAATGAAGGCTTTTAAAGTGAAATGCTGTAAAAGCCCCTCATTGTTTAAATTACAAAGTATTCATGAAGTGGTCATAAAACAATCATAGGCTGTGATCCTTTCACCCTGAGAGCTGCAGTGTGTTGTTTGTGGTAATAGCGGTATCCTGGCATATTCTTATATTGTATCTTTATACATTTATACACCTATAGAAGATAATTTTTTTTAATCTTTGGCTCTTCATTTGCTTGTGTCAACTACTGTTTTAGTCATTTCAACTGGTTTCTTTCCACGTTCTTCTCTCGCACTCAGAGTGAACTGCACAGAAACTGCTCCAACGTCATTCAGCCAAAAGACATTAATATAACCAATAATGTTACCTGGTGCGATTGGCCACCCTTTGGTAAGTCCTTTAATTGCTGTCATTAATGCTCACTTTGGAAACACAACTTCTAGTAGATGAGATTTTGGACAATTGCAGCTCTCAGAAAGTTTCAGTGTACCAAATTATTACTACACATGATTTATCACTTGGTTAGGTGTTCGCAGTGGAAAAAGTGGCGTATGCATGCATAGGAGGAGCTGCTGTGGTGAAGCAGCTTCTTGAAGCTCTGAAACTCAAAAAAACAAGGAAAAGGGAGACTTTGTCGTCTGTAGTACCCTAGAAATTCCAAGTATGTTGATGCATGATTACCTACTGCGAAGGACATGCTGTACGCTGATAACTAAATACTTTGTAGTGTGGGTGTAGATTTTGTCTGAGACTGGAGGCCACATTATAGAGGTGTTAAGAAGTAAATTTTACACCTTTTCTAGATCATTTTATGATGAAAACTTTAAAATCAGCCACTATGAGATACTACAAAATAAACTGGTGGTTTTGCTCTGGTTTTATATTTGGTTAAAGTCCATCAGCTGCTGTTAGTTGTCTTTACTTGTTGGCATTAGTATTATAGGTCATTTAAACCACATACACGGATACACTGTGGCCAGAAGTTGAGGTTAATAGATGAAATCTGCAGTACCTGGAACTTTTTGGGGAAAAGTCTGGTGGAGAGTTAAGCTTAGTGCTCTAAATCCACATAGAGGCTGCACTGTCGTGGCCAAGGTTGTTGTTTGTGTTTGTGCCTTTGAGCTGCTGTGAAACTGAGCTGATCATGTGGGACCTGCAGCTGATAAATATTTAACTTTTAGTTAATGTTACAGAAACACAGAAAAGAGATAAGTGTTTGAAGCTGCACTGGAATAATACTGGCTATAAGATAGATACAATTACATCTTCTACAACAGAGAGAATTACCACCAGTTGCACTTGTCATAGTTCCTGTGCTCTGTGGTTACTTTTCTAGGAAGTTTAAAAGCAGCTGAATTACAGGGATTATATTAAAAGGGTCCTACTATCGTTCCTTCTTCTTTCTCAAGCAACTTTAAGTCTGGGGTTAAGTTTGCAGCTTGAATCTAGTCCGGCTGTGATCGTGTGAGAGCCTGTAATAGGTTAATAGTCCATCATATGGTCAGACCAGAGAGCCAGACAACTCTGTGTTCACAGATCTGCCTGTGAACACAGACGTCCCACCCATCGGTTCATTCAAAACGTTTTTTTTGCGAATAAACCAATCAGAAGAAAGTTGACGTAAATGGGACCGTTAAAGATAGAAGAGCTATTAATAATATTAATTATGCATATATTATGATGTTGTTTAGCAACAACCTAGCAACAGACTAGGTTCACTGACCAAACAACATTATAGCATAGGCATGTGGTAGTAAGATAAACAAGAATTATTTTATTAATGACAGGAATAAAATGAGGAGCTGGGAATGAGATTATCAGGTCCAGATCTCTGCTGCAGTTTTGTGTGCGTGTGAGCCATACTAATTGACGAAGACCTCACAAAATTATACGCGCCGATGCGGAGAAAAGTAACAGTTTTCTCTGTTTTCTTGTTAAAGACCAGGACAACTACCAGACACTGTTTGGGGTCTTGGATAACTGCTTTCTGGTTGCTTATGCCATCGGGATGTTTTTCAGGTTTGTATTTGCTGTTTTTGGCTGACCTTGTTGTGTTTTTGTCTGAGAGGGCATGTGCTGCACTGACTAATAATCGTCTCTCATGTTCTCAGTGGGATATTTGGTGAGCGTCTCCCTCTGCGGTACTACCTGAGTTTTGGGATGTTGATGAGTGGGTTGTTTACATGTCTGTTTGGCCTCGGCTTCTACTGGAACATCCACTCACTGGGGTACTACGCCTTCGTCCAGGTAAAGAAACAAATCCACAAACCTGACCTTTAATTTACTTTCTGATTCATTTATCCTGTTCTCTTTTATTATTGCAATTGTGGGTTTTCTGATGTGATATCGTGTATAAATAAGAGCTGAAATGTGAGCTCATCAGCCACACATTAGCTGATTTGGCTTGCTAGCACGAAAGTGGTGGTTTTGTTAGCCACACACTTGAGAAAGTAAATGGGTAAATGTCCTGTAACTGTTTTAATGTTAAAAATCCACTATTAGACAAAAACAGGGGAAGAGAGTGTAGAAAAATTTTGACACTTTCTAGATTTAAAAAATTAAAGGAGTGAGTTTGACTTTTTGCTCTCACCTGAGTGAGCCCGCTCTCACTCTTTCTTTACTAATGCAAACCTGACTGAACTAAACGGAAATTACAGACTCTTTGAAGCTGATTAATCTAACACTTGGACACAAATGAAAAACAAAGTGCAGTTTTACAC